TTAAAGAAATAATATAATATTCTGAAATTGTTCCCTATAGAGGGAGTTGTGCGAAGCTTTATCTAATCCTGAATTTGAAGTTTGAGGAAGAGATGGAACATCATGCCTGACCCTCCGAGGTTCCGAAAAGGATATAGATCCCAATATAGCCGAATCGATTTGAAGATGATTGTTGCTGAGCAGCCAATAGCTTTCATAACGAAGTAATAACTGTTGGATATGATGATTGTTGCTGAGCAGCCAATAGCTTTCATAACGAAGTAATAACTGTTAGATATGATGATTGTTGCTGACTAGCCGACAGCTTTCATAACGAAGTAATAACTGTTGGATATGATGATTGTTGCTGAGCAGCCAATAGCTTTCATAACGAAGTAATAACTGTTGGATATGATGATTGTTGCTGAGTAGCCGACAGCTTTCATAACGAAGTAATAACTGTTGGATATGATGATTGTTGCTGAGCAGCCAATAGCTTTCGTAACGAAGTAATAACTGTTAGATATGATTATTGATGCTGAGTAGCCGACAGCTTTCATAACGAAGTAATAACTGTTGGATATGATGATTGTTGCTGAGCAGCCAATAGCTTTCATAACGAAGTAATAACTGTTGGATATGATGATTGATGCTGAGTAGCCGACAGCTTTCACAATGACGTTGTAACTGTTGCATATAATAGATGAAAAAAAGAAAGAAAAGGCGATCGTCTTTCAAAGTGAACAGTATAACGAAACTCTAGTAGCGTTTAAGTAGTGTATGGCGTACTTTATTGTAGTGTTTCATCATTTCTTTTACCCTGATATATAAAGTTCATATGTGTAGTGATCGGCATATTTAGAATAATAGCTTATCGTTATTTATAATTCAGAAAGCCCGTTAACATGAACGCTTTTTACATTGTCGGAATAAAGCAGTTAGGGCTCTGTGCACTATTAAACATTTGACCTTTCCCTCCTTAAACAGGACAGAACATGTGATACGCAGCATCTAAATATAAATATATCTTCTCCTTATATTGTAGATATTTCTTAGCAGTAAACATACAAGCACCATTGACAGTGTATTCTTATTATAATTCATGTTAAATTAGTTAATTAAAAACATCCTTCTACCCTGTTCCATTGAAGTAATAGACAGGCTGAGAAACTTACACAGTCATTATAAAACATATACGAGTGGATGACGTTTATGTGTATAGTTAATTTGTTGTAATAGTCGAATCTCATTAAGGAAACCTTTTTCTCCCAGTGTTCAGGGATCCTGTACAAGTGTATCGAATGCACATTGGTTGGTCCGAGCCTGGATCTCTAAAGATAGGCCTTTGTTTTCAGAAGGGATTTCCTTCCATTGTGGTTTATATAATTTTTTATCCTAAATGTGTTACGTATCACGAAATCATGTCCATTTGATAATAGCACTTTAGTTAAATATTTCAGGATTGCTGTTAAAGTGCTCTATTAAATTCTGATATCGAACAAAACTCAACAGTAGTTATTTCCACCCTATTTCCTTAAATAAAATGTATTAAAATCCATTAGTTCACATATATTATTGACAGTGAACTAGTAATGAGCTAATAAGTACACAGGCCTGCGATGGTTTTATC